TTTACCTATTTTTCTTCAAATAGTATTAATATATTTATAACACAATATCAAATGAACAAAGGTATTTTAAAAAATAAAATTTTAATTCATAATTTGTTTCCTGAAATCAAAATTCTTTAATATGGTTATTATTGTACTTGAATATACAATTTAATTATAACATTACTTGAATAAGATATCAAATAACATAGACATAATCGTTCACATATATATTTATTAAATTAGCATACAACCCACTTATAATTACCTACTTTTTATTGTTTAATAAATACAATTAGTGAATTGCTACTATATACTTTATATAGGAGACTTAAAAAAATACATTCACCAAAAAGTAAAAAGAACTGATTAAATAAATAAGGAAATTACAAATTAAGAAACAAAAAGTTAAAGAAGTTCTACTACTGGAGAACTTACATGTACAATTATATAAAAACAGTACCATAACAAACTATCAAAATTTGAAAATGTTCTATAAAGTAAAAGAATTTTGTTTTAACAATTTTTTATCAACATTTTGTGACTATTTGCTATGTAATTGTTCGATACAAACACTAAGCTGTTGGAGACGATGCAATAAATGACGCATATTAGCACTCGAATGTCGCAGACCTGATTGTTCACCACCAATTTCTTGTTTTTGACCTAACTCAAAATGAAGTCTAGCTAATCGTTCTTGTTGTTCACGTATTTCTGTCATTTGCTCCATGCTACAGTCTTTTCCTATAATGAATTCATTGTTTATTTACATTTTTTATATATGCCATAATAGACTATGTCTGAAGTATAAAAGCAGATTGACATACCAAATGCTCGTAAATTGCCACTATGAAAATCTTCTAGAAGCTGTAATAAAGCTTGTTCCATGCGACGAACATCAGGAACCTCTGACAAAAAGCAATGATGTTTGCATGGTGCCATGGCTTTATTTTATGACACCAAGGCAATCAAAAAATGTAATGAAAACTTAAAAAAACTTAAAACAGTGAATTATATGAAAAAATAAAAATTTGTTGTAAAATAATACAACAATAATTCATCATGATATAAGAACCTAAACTTGCAAAACT